GGAAAAATAATATTTGAAGAACTGGAAGGGAAGAAGCCATCCAAATTTTCGCATGCACTCGGCGCTTCACAATGGGGCTCATATCTTGCGTTGAATTTGGGCGGAAATGTTCATCCGCTGGTCAGGATCGCTTCTTCATACTATGAAAGGCAGAAACATAAAGGCACCTCAGGAGACCTCCCACTCTCCCTGGTCCTTACCAACAAGTGTACTTAATAGGGTTAATTGCGTATTATCAACACTATTGTCTTGCTTTAAAGGAGCTCCTATACCTTTCTTTGTTGGTAGATAGCATGGCATAAAAGAAAATAGCTTTCCTCTATGCATCACCTGAAGCCAATTTTGATGAAAATGTTGGTAACTCTGCGTCCTGCTTTAGGGTGTCCCCCAAGAGGCCCGTCGCGCGGCGAAGGAAGTGAAAGGACGAGTCGTAGTGCGACATGAGAAGTAGTATGGTACACTCTATTTAACCTGACGCCTAACCGTACAGTATGCGCTGCGACTCGTCCGTCCTTCACCCTGCCGCGTTTAAGGGCAATGGTCAACCGGAAGGCTTGGTGATTCAGTGTTTTGTAGGGTTCTCTGGGACTCTCGTGGTTAGTCCCAGCAGTGTGCTTTTTTGTCTGGACTCGCAAACATTGGTTGACCGCTGCCCCCTAACCCCTCTGCCGCATCTGCGTCACTTCGTTCGCCGCGCGACGGGCCTCTTGGGGGACACCCTCTGCTTTATGGATACGACCAAGAACGATATTCTCAGAGTGCACTACGTTTACAAAAATCACGATCCTGGTATTTTGAGAAATTCGGCGAATGTATGCATTAGCGATCTTAAGTAGTGACCAAAACGGATTTTGCTGCATTTCTTTTCCCACTCAGCAAACTCAAAATTTCAAACAGGTTCAAATTGTAGTGTGTACGCGTTACGTTTTTTGTTGTTTTAAATGCTTGAAGCTTCCTCTACCATTGGGAAATTGTAATTATCGCCATTTAAAATCTTCTCCCATTACACACAAGCCTGATTTGTGCAGTTCATATTCGAAAAATGCGCGACAAGGGCTGCAGGGCCTAGTCAGTGCGCTTCCGTAGGCTTTTGCCGTCTGCAGCATTATGCGCGGTGCTCGCCCTCTAGAGCGACGTGCTCTCCCTTATATTCCCTCCCCTCTCCGGAAAATGTTCTTCCCTCGTATCGCAACCAATTTCACAACGGAATGATGCTCTTGATCCCGGTATTTTTCATACTTGTGTTTTTTCTTCACTGGTGGTCCAATTCGTCGCATCGTTGCGTCTGAGCAGAATTACCACAACGCGTGATAGCCCAATAGATTCCTAAAGGCAAAGTTCGGGATCTCTGTACGAAATTGAGCTCACGCACGAGTAATATGGAGAACGGAAAAACGCAAGCGCAGAGTGAGTGGCGCGACTTAACAAGGCTGAGGCGCTAAGTCGTCTACTGTGCCCTCGAAATAGGCTTCGCTTGATTTCAAAGTCATTTTCAAAAGAAAAAAAGCGTAACCGCTGCTGTGGAAGTGTCTGTGCAACGATTGCGAAGGATCAATTCAGTGGAAGATTTTTTGGGTGTTAAAGCAGTGTAACGCTAACGATAACGCAAGTGATAAAGAGACCTAAAGCAAAGAGCACGCTTATGATTGCTTTAAGGTGTTTCATTGAAAAGGTACAATAGAAGGCTAAACCAGTACCATTTTCTCCGTAAATATATGTTTTCAAATTGTCAGCAAAATTTTTGCGCAGTAGCCTATTAAAATGAAGTGAAAATGGTTCCTTCAATTAAACACTTGTAAAGTAGTTTTGACCCAGGAAATAGCAAAATGAAACAATTTTGTCGTTCCAGCCAATAGCAGGAACAGGAACTAATGGAACAAATATACAGTATGTGGAGCAAGAACAATGCTATCTCACTCAGTGGTATCCAGGAGAGGTATGGACATTGTTGAATTTAACCCGCGTTGCGTCTTCAGGGCGACTACTGTCCACAGGAATATTTCCTCGTATTCATTCAATTAGTCTAGAGATGTGTGCATCACAAAGCCCTCAATTCCAGAGTGCTGTGGAACATGCTGTCATAATAGCAGTGTTGGTTCCCAGTGATGCCTGCTCGAAAGTCCTGAATCTACTTAGCCATGGAGCGGCAGAGGAAAAAGCAAGAAGGCCCATGGGAAGCAACATAGTGAGCCTTGAAAACACCTTCCCAACCAACTTCACCCTTTTGAAAGAGGATTGATGAAATTGTAGCCACCTTATTTACATGCCATGCCGTACACTTGAAGGAACTGCTATTTTTTTAAACTTTTGTTAAAACTTTCTTAACCTTTTTTAGCCAATCTACGCATAAAGTTGCTGATGGCCCTAATTGCAGATATGACATGAATTGTTTGCGCTGACACCATTTTTCGCGAATTTTGAAACGGCAACACAAGAATAAATTTTCAGCTGGCAGATTTGAACGACGGACCACTTCATCACCACTTTTCTAGTGTAAGGTCCGCTCAGAGAAAAAATTCCATTCTGTGTTCCATATATCCCCACATCATGCTTCTAGAAACTGGACATTTTTTGAAAGACCGTCCTTGTTAATTATTGATAGTATTTATTCTTTTCAAGAATAGATTCTGATGCAAAATCCAGCAAAATATTCCACTTTCTACCAAATCTCGTCTTATCAGCGGGTGCTTTCTCCACATAACTTTTTCTTCTTTGAAATATTAAATTTCTATATAATTTACCCCATAAAACTTGAAAAAAACCACTGATAAACTCTCCAGTTTATTTTCGGCGCTATTTCAGTGAAGCCTTTTTTGCACAATTTTTCAAGAAAGAAGGACATGCAGCAATTGGAGTCCAACAAAAAACCTGAAGCTCATGTTTCATGGTTATTTTATCCACAGCTACAGTGCAAACCACCGCATGATACTAAACATTTTAAAGCAACAGTCCCAGCAGCGTGGGCGTGGTCGGAAACGGCTGCAATCCCCTTCGGTCGATTCTCCACTTCGGAGCTGTTCAGTCCCCCTACTAGTCAAGAACGTAAGAAGTGTGACTGAACAAAAACTCACCTTGGAAAGCCGCTAGAAGTGGGCGTGGTCGGAATTGGCCGAGAGGGTTGCATTCGTTTCCGACCACGCCTACCCTGCTGGGACTGTTGCTTTAATAACTAATTACTAGTGATACTGAGTGAACTACCCTGCCTTATACTATTCATGTGAAAAATTGGCCGAAATTTGGTTTTCGAAAAGGCCTTAGTAACAACGGAAGTTTTTCAGTCGGTCCGAGCGAACGTCGTTGCGGATGATTCGGAGATCATCATCAACGGTAACCACAAGGTGGAGGAAGCCGAGGCGGCTGGTGGACATGGTCATGACGAGGTGTGCCGGCAATCCCACCTTCCCGTTCTTCTTTCTGGGAAAGATTTCAATCAGTTTCAGGCTTTCGGTGATGTGATGGTTCATCAGGCGATCCACACCATTGAGTATGTGCTCGGTTGCGTTTCGCACACAGCTTCATACCTTCGACTTTGGGCGCTGTCGCTTGCCCATGCTCGTCAGTTTTTCATTGTTTGTGTTCTCTAATGGTCCTGATGCATCTTTCCGCATTGCCTGCACGGTTGAATATTCCTAAAAGCATTGCAACGATGGCTGAAGGGTAGCTTCTCATGACGTGATTGAACGTCATTGTTGCAATAATGAGCATTTTCAATCAGGGTCAACCGTTCGTTCACTATTCGAAGGGGGGAGAGGGATGCTGCATTTGTGATTTTGGGAAAGGAGGCCGCATTTAGGGGATTAAGCAAGGATAGCTACATCTTGGAAAAATATGGAGGGGGCGTGAAAAATGAGTTATATTCAACAGTTTTTCCGACGAGTTTGGCGCAAGTTCAACGAAGAACTAGACGAAACTATATCGTTGGATTTGGAGCCATGAGACCAATCTCTCCTACACCCCCCTACCGACGCCGTTTCAAAGGGAAAAGGGCTGAGTCGAGATGGAATACTAGAAACGTGTTTTTGGTTGTTCACTACTGATGTCGGCTAACCGGCTCAACACTACAGGTGTGAGTAGTGAGAAGCGGTAAGTGGTAAGGTATGGTAAGTATACCATGAAAAGCTGAGTTGAGATGGAATGAAATGCTGCAATGCTGCACCGATAGGGTACCTTGTAGCACACTTACCAGGTAAGCAAGAGGTGCGGGTTTGAGTCCTGTCTGAGGAAAAATTTGTTCACAGCCCAGTATTCTTGTGAGACTATAGAAACAGCTATGATGGCAGGGTGGTGATAAGGGCAGGGCGGAGAGAGAGGCGGTATTGGGGAGCCTTCTTAGACCGATGGGTCGTAGGGGGACGCACCGGGGGCTTCAATAACGGTGGGGGTTCAAACTTTGGAAACAGGGCGAACGCCGACGGATTGTTGCCCCTGTTCCACATATGGCACTACTCACTAAGTCTAGTCCATTAAAGAGGGTTCATCGAGTGGGGCACGAGGCCCACTGCCTTCAAAAAATTCAGCGTCTTTTACTGTTTTTTGTTTACCGTCTACTTCATCGATATGCACCTACACACTTACACTTACATTGTAGAGCTGTCCGAAGTGCTTTGGCATATGGTGCTTTCGAACGCGTTCGGCCTAAGCGGAATCGCTGGTTACATAGCCATCTATGTGATCTTCTTCTTCTTCGGAGTGCTCACCTTCTCTATTCTGGTACTTATGGAAGGTCTCTCAGCTTTCCTCCATGCACTTCGTCTCCACTGGTAACTTTGCTTTCCAATTCTTCACAGCAATATCCATCAACCACTCGCGTTTTCAGGGTCGAATTCCAATCGAAGTTCTATCAGGGCCTCCTCGGCTACGCATTCGTACCGTACTCGTTCAAGACGGCCCTACTTGCAGCCGAAGCCGGCAACTAATCGCTGGCGCTCCGATTCGTCAACTCAATTTTTTGCAACTGTGCATAATTTCAGCATAATCCGAGTGGCTAGGTAGCGGCAAAGCCGGTGCGTGCATTGGCAAGTTGAGGAAGCCCTTCTCCTTCACTGTCCATTCTCGATAATTGTCCGCTTTGAAATCTTTTCATAATCTGTCAATGTTTCCCGGTGACTTCACAATAAACGAATCGAAGCCTCTTAACAGTCGGAAGCCGATCAAGGCAATTCGCATGTCGAATGTTGGTAAATAAAGCATCGTGCGCAGAAGGAAGAGTCCGGGTTACCTCATAAAAGTTGGGTGAGTACTAACTGAAGGAGCGACAAGTCATTTCCACCTGGAATACAAGGATGTCACTAAGAAAACAATTGTGAAGCTACCAATGAACCAAAGGCGGAGTTTAGGATTAGATGGTAGCCCATTAGAGTTGCCGAGATTAAGAAAAAACTGTGAGACAGCGAAAGATCCAGAAATGAGACTCTTTTGCTCACTGATTTCCACATTGATGCGACTCTCATCGGTTCTGTCCTCTTCAACGCTAACACTCTCTCTGATGAACGGCTAGGGACCCGTGGCGAATGATTAGCTAGTCGGTGGGCGTGCCGCGTTGATAGCGCCGCGGGAGCCATGCTAGCAGCAGGGCCAAGCATACGTTAAGGAATACTCGACGAGGCAGTAATATGAGCTGGGATTGGTAATGATCAGAGCAGCGGTAGCCTGTTCGGGAGTGGATGGAACCGCAGCCCACACCGGTTGGCACTGGATGCCAAGTGCACGGTACATCCCTGAGCGACTTGAACAATCTCGCGTCCTCTCTGCGATGAAGATGTGAAATGAAAAGCACCAAGAGCTCTCCGGAAGGGACTGTCTAAAATGGCAGGAAGAAATCCACCACCAACGAAGAAATGCATTTTTCAGCGTTACGTCACAGAAATATAACCATTTGAGTAAATTGGAACCTTGCAGTATATTTTTACACATATATGAAAGCAGGGAACTCGTGAATTGAAAAGCTTTTTTCATATTTTCACAAAGTTGTCCACGAAAGAAACTATACTCGCTGAAGGAGTGGCAACGCAACGGAGAAGACCTTTTGGCAGCACTCCACAAAAGTTCTCAAGACGGCCCATTTTTGAAATATACTAATTGATGGGTCAAGCAATTTCAAAGACAATTACTACGGGCAAACCATCCATACAAAAGAATATTAATTTTCCTGACTTTATGTATCTGCCATTTCTCGTTAGTTGCCCAAAAACGGGTACACTAACGATTAATGGCAGATGTTTCCGTAAGTTTGCGTAGACTTAGCTTTTATTTGGAAGAACTCGTCCAAAAACTTCCGAAA